CAACAGTCGGAGCTGCACTGATCCAAATCCAGGAGCCAGGTGTTTCTTCCTGGTCTCCCATGCAGATGTAGGGGCCCAAAGGCTTGGGTCATCTTCTACTGCTTTCTCAGGCCACAGTAGAGAGCTAGATTGGAAGAAGAGCAGCCTGGACTAGAACTGGGGTCCACATGGAATGCTGGAGCCACAGGTGGAGGATTAACATACTGTGTCATGGCTCCAGTTCCCTTCCTTGCTCTTATATTTTAAAAAGTTCTCCTCAGACTTGAAATCAAATGAGAATTCATATTTCTTTTTTTAAAGATTTATTTATTTATTTGAAAGGCAGAGTTACAGAGAGGCAGATGCAGAGAGAAAGAGAGAGAAAGAAAGTTCTTCCACCTGCTGGCTCACTCCCTAATTGGCCTCAAGGGCTGGAGCTGGGCCGATACAGCCTCTTCTGGGTCTCACATGGGGATGCAGGGGCCCAAGGATTTCGGTGATTGTCCATCTGTTCCAGGCCATATCAGAGAGCTGGATCAGAAGTAGAGCTGCCAGGACTGGAACCTGTGCCCATATGGGATTCCAGCACTGCAGGGGGTGGCTTTACCAGTGGCTATGCCACAGCACTGACCCTATTTTCTTTTAATTCTTTAATTATTCTCTTTCTCCTTTTTGAAAAATCAACCTTTTTAAACATGTGAAAATTACTTTGGTAAACATCTAATATTTTCCCTCCAAAGTCAGTGACCTGTGCCAGTCCCACTGATCAAATAAACCTTCCTTTTCCTATTGGCTTAAGATGACTATTTCTCCAAATAGAAACTCATTTTTTATGTTTATGGGATTTGTATATGGCGTTACTATCCTGGTCTTGCTTTGTCTCTCTTACACCAGTAAAATTTGTTTTAAAAATTTATTAAGGTGACCATTTAATTTTGCAAGCAACAAGTGAGCTATATATGGATGATGAAAATCAATGAAAATACACCTATAATTGTGTTCTTGGTGTCTCTAAGCCACAATTCTGATGTATTGTACTTGATAAATGAATGTGTTTACTATAATCATAGTTTGATTTAAATACCTAAATAATACCTTTAGGATTTTTATGTGTTTGTGGTTTGTAGTATTGATGGGGAATATTCTTGGACCTCAAAAGTTATTACCAATCTGTTATTTTTTATAACTGTATATTTCACAACCTATTAAAATGTTTTTGTATTGGAGCTTTTTTTGCATTGTTGTAACATGCAACAGACACTTGGTTGTTTCAAAATAACTCATTCATTCAATAAATGCTTCATGTTATGGACCAGAAACCACAAGATGCTTTATAGATTCATAGAAAATATGCAGTGTTTGTTGAAAGACACCTAAACATTAGAAATGGAAAATGTGAATTATCTTCTATAAATATTTCTTCTTTTAATTATTTGAACAAAAATCTCTGGATTCAAGCTAGAGCAGAGAAACAAATTGACTAAGAATATTTACTACATATAATATAATTTAACAACTGAAGAAGTAGACCAGTGGGTGATGGAGACAACTGGTGAGTTCATGGACATGAAGAGTCTCCTTGGGATAAGGATGCTGGTGCCCTGTGCTGAGCAGACACTGTGGAAGTGCAGTCCTTGGAGACACTGGACACTGTGGGCTCAGTTACTGGGCAAGCTGTGAGCTCACAGGAGGTCAGCACAAGCAGGACCATGAGGGGATGATGGAGAATCATCAGGCAGGAGTGTAGCAGCCTAAGAGTGGGTGGGGTCCAAGACTAAGCACAGGTTAGGTGAGGCCTGAATGACTGTCCTGGCAGGAGTAAGGCTGGGAGGCTTCAGGCTCCTCTGTGTGGGAGGAGCTGTGCCATCTCCTTAACCCTGATGATCACATGCCCTGGCCAGGCCAGCAATGGTGTGGGGTTATCACAGTGTGAGTCAGGGTTAAGGAACAGGGAATGGGACCCTGTGGGGCCTCAGGGTGGGTAGGACAGACTGCAGGGACATATTCACCATGACTTCGCCCTGTTTAGTCTCCAATGATGAGGGCGGCTGGCAGAGGGGGGATGACAGATAGGAGGTGACACCCTATGACCCCCTGAGTGACAGAAGCAATGTCCCTTAAGTGAGTTCTCCCATCTTTCTTCTCGTATTACTCAACCCATGGCCTGATCAGCACTGCCTGGTAACCCAGCTGCCCTGAGACCTTGGGAAGTGGTTTATCCTCGGAGCCCCTGAATGTGGTGATGACTTGGGGGGGGATCCCTGCCCTGCAGAACACACTCAGCACCACACCACAGTCACCTCCACCAGCCAGGGCCCAGCTTCCTCACAGGACCCTGCCCTTGGCCTCCCTCCATCCTCACCTCCAGGAGAGACCAGACAAGGGTGGCGAGGAGGCTGGTGAATACAACAGCAGCAATGGAACCTGAATAGCTAGGAACACATGTGGGCTTATGCACCTGCATGTGCACACAGACACACACACACAGAGGCTCACACTTGTACTCAGTGGGATTACAGCTCAGGCCCCCCAGGACAGGGAGAGTAGTGAGGAACTTGGCCACAGCAGGACCCAGGAGGCTCCATAAATTCTGCAAGGCATTCACTGTCACTGCAGGAGCCAGAGGTAACCATGCCCAGCTTAGGAGCTGGAAGGGGCCTAATGGTGCTGAAGTGATGGTGTTCCCCAGATGTGGATGTCCCTCATCTGGGAGCCCTGGAGATTGTGGGTGCTCCTGATTCCCACATGCTTATTGTCAACATCAGTGTCTGTGTGGTCAGCACCAGTGTCAGGGGCTGGTGGTGAAGTCACAGTGACTCAATCCTTCACCTCTTGTCTGTGTCCAGGACAGAGTTCTTGTTCCTCCTACAGACAGTCTGGTCCCTGCTGGCTCAAGGTCCCAGGCAGGGGCAGGCAGTATGCCTCACCACTCACCCTACTCCCTGGACTCTCTGATACCCAAAAGCAACAGCAGCAGCAAGGAAAGGCCAGGAGGAGGGCAGGAGGCACAGCCTGGATCAGCATTGCTAGAGTAAGCCTGTCTTGTGGCAGGAGTTTGTGCCACATGGAGTCCCCAGTTCTGGTCATTGCAAGGCTGGGGAAAGTACAGGGACCTCAGGTAGTTGTACGCCAATTATGAGGGCACCAACTGCACTCATATTAATCCAAAATGCAAGTGCTCAAAAGCCAATACAAAATATAATTGTAGAGGAGGAAAAGGAGGATGGAGGATGGAGGGTGGCAGGGTCCTGGGACCTTGTCCAGTGAGTGAGAGAGAGGGCACCAGGACATCTGAGCCCATGACATACCTCCCACAATCTGCCCTTTTCTCTTGATCCGAGGATGACCACAGGCCCCACTGCTAGGGGATTCTTATTCCTCAGGGGTTTAGGAACCCTCACCCTGAGACCTGCTGATCTAGGAGGCTGCCATTGTGACTGCGCTCCATGATGTCATCATTGCCAAGCACTGCTCCTTCCATATTCTACAGTAGTTAGTGGCCACTCCTGTGTCAAGTGAGCGGCTGAGCTGGAGTTTGTTTTCTAGGCAGCAAGCAAGTTCAGGACACGTGGATGGATTCAGGTCCAGGTGAGTGGGACTTGCTCTCTTCATGTCATGATGATTTGGGGACAGGTTGTCCCAGCTGTGTGGTCCTGGCCTCTCCTGGCTACTGCAAAGGGCCATGCTGCCTGAGTCTGTCTGTCTGTCTGTCTCTCTCTCTCTCTCTCTCTCTCTCCATCTCTTCCTGTCTCCCTCTCTCCCTCTCTCCTCTCTCTCTCTCTCCCTAGAAAGTTTTCCAGCTACAAAACATAAAAAATTTGATTTTCTTTCTGAATATTAATAATGGAGATACAGAACCTGAAATTAACTATACCACTTTCAACTAATCTGAGAAAATGAAATGCTTATATATAATATTAACAAAATGTGTATATAATACTGTACACTCCAAATAACAAAATACAGATTTAAAAAAGGTGAAATACATCTAAAGAACTGGAAATTGTACTGTGCCCATGCATTTCAGGATAAACTAATAAAGGTGCTGGTTTTCCCAAATTAGTAAATAACTCTAATGCAATTCCATCACTATCCCAGCAAGATTTTTGTAGGTCTAGGTGAACTTATTCTAAAATTCATATTGAGAGTTAAGACAGTCTTGGAAGAGTGGGAAGAACAAAGTGGGGAGATTCACTGCAGTCAGTGTCAAGTCTCACTATGTAGATACAGTAATCAAGAATTTGTGACACTGGGAAAAGGACAGACATAGACAAACAGAACAGAGAACCCAAATAGACCACACAAATATTCTCAGTTGAATTTTTTTTTTACTCAGTACTACAGGGAATTCAAAAAAAGAAAGGATAACTTATTCAAAAAGTGGAGTTTCCCTGCCTCTGTTACACATCAGAGTGCCTGTGTTTGATGCCCGGCTCTGCTCCTGACTCCAGCTTCCTGCTACTGCAGATCCTGGGAGGCAATGCCAAGGGCTCAAGTAATTGGGTTCCTGCCACCCACAAGGGAGGCCTGGAATGAGTCCCTGGCTCACTGCTCTAGCCTGGCCCTGCCCATATGTTGCAAGAATTTCAGGAGTCTATCAGTAGATGGAACATATCTCTGTCTCTCTCTCCTATGCTGTCACTCTGCCTTTCAAATAAATATATAGATCTTTAAAATATCTTTTAAAAAGAAAAATACAGGACTCCAAGAAGAATTTCCACAACAGTTGATCAACACATAATTTGTGAGTTTATTTAACATTCTATGCAATATTTAGATGCATTTGCATTTCTGATCAACCCAGATCAGATGTCAGATGAATGGGAAAAAAAACTTCTAACAAATATATTGCATTCCATGGAACATTTGGGATATGATTACACTAAGGGGTCATTCGATGTTTATGTAGCATGCAAATGGAACTGGGTATTTGGGTGCTATTGTTTCAGGCACTTCTGTTTTTTTTTCTTGGCTAAATCTAGCAGCCCTATCAGGCTAAACTTGGATGTAAGGCCTTCTCTATGCCAATTTCACCTATGGCAAGTGTCAGACTGTCTTTTTCCCTCTCTGCAAAGTGGGAGTGATGACTTTTACTTTGCAAGGCTGCAAGCTTCCCAAATCACACAGCTCTGCTAGCTTTTGTTGGTGGTGAATGCTTAGCAATCAACATACATGTCTGGGGATGATGGTTGGATCACTGAATCTTTCTTTAAAAAGATTATTTATTTAAAATGGAGAGAGAGGGAGAAAGAAGGAGATGAGGAGAGAGAAATCTTCCATTTGTTGGTTCACTCCTCAAATGGCTAAAAGAGGGCTGAACAAGGCCTGGAGCCAGGAACTTCACTGGGGTTTCCCATGTGGGTAGTAGGGGCAAGTTCAGGAGATGGCCAAGCACTCAGGCCATACCTCACTTCTCTCCCAGATATACACCAGCTGGATCAGACATGGAGCATCAGAACTTGAACCAGTGCTCTGACACGGGATGCTGGCATCACAGGTGGTGCTTTAACGTGCTGCATCACAACACAAGTCCCTAATTAAACACATCTTGCATGTTACTGTATCCCTGGGTTAAAGCAAGTGCCTATGAGCAATATTATGGGCAAATTTATTTTTAGCTTAAATTTTGCAAGTAGGCATTTATTTGAACACAGAGAGCCAGCAAGCTCCCATCTGATGGTTCATTCTCCAAATACCCACCATGACCAGGGCTTGGCCAGGCCAAAGCCAGGAGCCAACAACTCTGTTCAGGGATCCAATCACTTGAGCCATGACTGTTGGTTCCCAGGCTGTGTATTGGCAGCAAGCTGGAGTCAAGAGCCAATTGCAGGACTTTATTCAAGCACTCCAGAGTGGGACATGGGCTTCTTAAACTCCAATTAAGGGCTGGCGCTGCGGCTCACTAGGCTAATCCTCTGCCTAGCGGCGCCGGCACACCGGGTTCTAGTCCCGGTCGGGGCGCCGGATTCTGTCCCGGTTGCCCCTCTTCCAGGCCAGCCCTCTGCTGTGGCCAGGGAGTGCAGTGGAGGATGGCCCAGGTGCTTGGGCCCTGCACCCCATGGGAGACCAGGAAAAGCACCTGGCTCCTGGCTCCTGCCATCGGATCAGCGCGGTGCGCCGGCCGCAGCGCGCCGGCCGCGGCGGCCATTGGAGGGTGAACCAACGGCAAAGGAAGACCTTTCTCTCTGTCTCTCTCTCTCACTGTCCACTCTGCCTGTCAAAAATAAAAATTAAAATTAAAAAAAAAACTCCAATTAAACACCTGCCCCATAGGTAACCCTAAATGGCCTGTGGAGTTGGCAGGGCCAGTGTGAGCACATCATGTGTGACATGACAAATGATAGAAGTGGAGGAGGCAGCCCCAGCATCCTGTCTTTGCCTTCACTTTTACCACCCAGCTGGCTTTTCTGGGATCAACTGGGTGCTCATTTCCTCCACTAACTGAGCTGGGACATTTCCCAGATGCCTCCAGGCTGGTTTTAGAAGAGATGGCAATGCAAGCATAGGTGTCATTGCCTGTATCTGTGGTAACTGTTTGCTGAAATTCTAGGAATGAACTTTTGCCAACACCTGCTCAGTGTCAGGGTTTAGGCTTTTTATTATGTTATTCATTTATTATCATTATTATTATAAGAAAGAGAGACATAGATATCTTCCAACTGCTGGCTCAATCTCCAATGCCTGTAAGAGCCAGGCCATGGCAGGCAACACCACGGAGCCTGGAACTCCATCTGTGTCTCCCACGTTGTTGAGCCATCATCTGCTCCTTTGTGGGTTGTGCACTAGCAGGAACCTAGGATTGGAGGCAGAGCCAGGATTTAAACCAAGGAATCTGATATGGGATGTGCATGTCCCAAGCAGTGACTTAACCTCTAAGCCAAATGCCCACCCCAAAGTGTGTATCTTACACCACTCTAATGAGAATCAGAGAAGGGAAGTGCAAAGGAAAAAGCCTGTGTTTAGAGTGAGATTGGCCCAGGTTCTCAATGTTGCTCCACTGGTAGCAGTATCTTACCGATGTCAATTTACTTCACCACTGAGCCTCCATATTCCCATTAAATTAAGTAGAAAACCTATTGGAGGCACCTTGTTCATGGAGTTTGTTCCTGCTTGTATGGTTTACATGTTTCAGGTGCCACACAGAACATTCTAGGTTCATTCATGGCCTGAATTGTGTAGGCAGGCTCTTAGATAGCCACTGTTGATCCCCACCTCCTGGTACAATCTGTTTTTTAAAAATATTTGTTGTTATTTATATGAAAGGCAGAGTCTCTCTCTCTCTCTCTCTCACATACACACACACACACACACACACACACACAACACATTTTCCATTCACTGGTTCACTCCCCACATGGACACAATGGCTGAAGCTTGGCCAAGATGAAGCTAAGATCCCAGAATTTCATCTGTCTTTCCCACGTGGTAGAGGCCCAAGCTCTTTGGCCATCACCTGCTATCTGCAAAGCAGAGTGTGCTTAAATAGGCAACTGCATAGGAAGTGGAGTAGCCAGGACTTGAACTGGCCCTCTGATATGGGATCCTTCTGTTGCAAACAGAACCTTAACCCTGAAGTGGGGTCTAATCTTATTCCAGGTCTTTGCCTTCTACCTAGAAAAGCATTTGAAGCACAGAAACATGTACAGTACACAAAATGATAACATTTATTTAAGGGATGATAAAGGAAACATGAGCATGGGTGGGGAGTGGGCCGGGGAAAATGGAGGTAAGAGGAGAAGTGGAGAGACAGCACCTCAGCATCCGTCTCCCAAGAGCAGGACACACTTCTTCCAGTGCGGGCTGCTTTTGAGGTAGAAGTGTGGTGGAACTTCACATGGCACGTGCTCCACCCAGAAGGAAACACGCCCCAGTAAGGGGCAGTTTATTGGACAAGTAGGATAGAATTACATGGGGGCGAGCGCTTGTGACTTGGGACTTCCAGCTCTGTGGCCCTAAGCTAGCTACCTGCCTTATCCCATCTCATCCCCCCGCAGAGATTTCCAACCCTTAATCTTAAGGGGGTGCTGAAGGATGATGATCCGTCTTCTGTAGCTACTTCCTGCTGGCCAGGGGCGTTGTCCCTACCTATCCAGGTTCGGAAACCTCTTCTTATCTCATCTAATCGATCCATCTCATGAGCTGGGGAATTTTCATTGTCACGGCCAATCGCTGTTGCCCTTGCATGGTCATCATCATTTTGAGAAGCTGTCGAATTCTGAAACAGAAAAGTTTGTCAATCAGGATGAGCATAATTGAAAAAGATAAATTGCAAGTTGAATCCCCTTCAGGATAGGAGGAGTATATTCCACTGTTTCCCAAAACATGGGCATTGATAGATTGTCCTTGCTGAGATTATAAAACCATCTAGCATAGCCATAAAGACTGGTAGTATCCTTTTCAGTGAATATACAACTGTTAGAGTAGATGCCGCAGATTCCATTAATCACTGCACACGCTCCTGGTTTTGCCAGTATGCATTTTATGGCCAGCTACTTGTCCATGACTGTCTTATAGCACCCACAGCCTCAAGCAATTGCTGTAAAATCTGGCCTGAAGTGTAGGCTCTAGTTTGGCCCACACAATAAACAGATTTTTAAATGGTTTTCTATGGCCTAGCAGGATCTCCTACTATCATACTACAAGAACTATGGAGTTTTCCTCACAACAGCAGCCTCCTGAGAGAATAAAAGATAGGCAAAATATGTGTGCCACTAAGTGTAGCAGGTTCAATATGATAAAAGCAAAGGTTTTACTTACCCTTTTGCCCCTTGAAGATGTATTCGAGATCTTGGATGCATTCACAAGAATGAGCAGACTTGTTCTCTGTGTGCCCCTGTGAAGACTAAAGAGGTAGAACTGAGATCCTTGACAAATGTACCCAGCTTGGGATGCCCTGAATTTGACTTCAGTAGGAGTGCTGAGTAGCACCTGGTAGGATCCCTTTCATCTAGGCTGCAATTGATCAGAGGAAGAGTCTTTGCTCCAAATGTCTCTTAAGACTTGGTCTCCTGGGGACAGGCTGTTCATGATTTTGGGACCTGGCACTGTGAGAATTTTATTACCACAGTCCATTAGCCTCTTGTATAGGAAAAAGATTAATAATAAATTCTTACCTGATCTGTATCCCTGAGTGAAAGAGGGTATCAGAGGTTAAGAAGACCTTTTTACATAGCATTTTAGACAGGCAGTTTTAAAGCAGCCTTAGGTGCCACTTTCATCCTGAGGGCAATAGGTAAGAATTTAAGCCATCTTTCTGAGGTCTCTTGGCAAAGATTCACCAGGACTTTTGTAAGAATATGATTAGCTTTTTGACTTTGATGACTAAGGTCTCCAAGGGGTATGGAGATAAGAAAAACCTAAAGCAGTCACCACATGCTGAGGTACTTTCTTTATGACAGTATGCAGCCTTTACCCTCCAAATACCCAAGGAACTCCTGGCATTAAACCTTCTCTTCCAAATAGGGAGAGTCATATATTAATAACTCCCCATTCAGCACATGGGCTTATGACTGAACGCCCACCTCCACTGGCGTCCTTCATGTTCCCTGGTTGAGGAGAACATTCTATGACAGGGTTTGTGTAGTGAGGATACTTAGTGACCAAAAAGCTCAGGTAGCAAAGCTATTTCTAGAACCTGCCCTGCAGCAGCAACTTTTGCTGCCTTATCTGCTAGCACATTTCCCTGAATAGCATGGCTGTCTTCTTGTGTCCCCTGCAGTGAATGACAACCACTTTCTAAAGACTCCAGTGCTCCTCAAGGAGAGCTAACATCTCTTCTCCTTATTTAATGGGAGAGCTCTTTGAAGTTGGGAGGGCTCTTCCTTTCCAAATTGCTCCATGTGCATGGAACTCAAGGAAAACAAACTGGAGTCTGGACATAACTCATTAGCTCTTCCCCATTGCAAGGCTCTAGTTAAAGCAGTAAGTTTGGCCTTTTGCGATCAAGTGCTAGTTGGCAATGTCTGAGATTCTATCACCTGAGTAAGACCCACCATGGCATAACCTGCCTTTTAAACTCCATACTTTGTGCAACTACTGCTGTCAGTAAACCACTCGGTATTTCGATTTTCTAGAGTTTTTTAAAATGTACCCTTAGGAGTCAGTCCACAGGGACAATGAGGAGTCATATACAGCTGAAGTTTTGGTAGAACCTGACAAGACAAAAGTGATATGGCTCTCCACAAACCCTGTTATGCTTATACATGTGATTCAGCTCCCTTGTATTAATTGTATTGGATACATTACAAAGGTTTTATACCCCAATTTGAGGTCCTCGGCTTTAAGCAACCTGCCTCCAGGGCTCCCTGTGGGTTGATCTATATGTAAGGGCATCTTCATTACCCAATGCCCCTATTAAAATGTCTTAATGAACATGCCTTACATAATCTGGCCAGTTGAAGAGTGCTGCTGCTTTTGCAAAGGTGCCAACAACTCGGGAGCAAATGCACATATAATTGGGGCATTTTCCCAGCATCCAACATGAGCTTATGGGATGTCATCTCTTCAAGAAATGATCTCTAGTGGGGCACTGTTCCTCACACCAGGAGGAAAAGCTTCTGGGTTGTAAAAATAACACAGCCTATGCCTGAAGACCAGCTGCTAGAGGTTGTAAGCCCTGAAGCTTCTGTGTCCTGAACATTCTCTGGGGCTAGGACCAGCATATCTAGAGCTTGTGACCTCAGGTAGCATTGAAATCCATACCTGGGTGTGTATTCCAGGGCAGCAGAAACCAGGATAAAGCTAAGATAAATGGTAGTGCTGCTGACTAGGTACATGGCTTGCACTAGCTTTGGGGTCCACCATGGTCAGGTGGGGTCCATTTCCATCATCCACTGAAAAGCTGAAGTCACACTTGAGGCTTCCATGGTTGGGCAAAGTCCCTCCCTCGGCTCCTGTTGAGGAACTCCTGCCATGTTAGGAAGTACCACCTGCTAACAGGGGGTGTGGCACATATACACTGCACACCTGTTTTGAGGACCACTCCAGTCAGATGAAGAGAAGTTTGCTAGCAAAAGGCGAGTGCTTGGCCCACCTGCCCATCTTAATAAGGAAAATACCATGATTCAAAATCTCAAGACAGAACTTTTTAGCCAGGTGTATTGCATCCAGTAGAAACTAAATGCCAAGTTCCAGGTTTTTCAGCAGCAAGAATGAATTTAAAAAACACACTAAAAACTAGAAACAAAGATTTTGGGCACAAGGTCACAAACTGGCCAACTCTCTTCCCATTCCTCTGTCCAATCTTCCTTACGAAGACATCTCATTGTCGCCTTTCCTCCCCTATAGCTGTAACTTAGGAACAAGGTCCCCACAACTGCATCTTAACAGATCTGCCTGAGATCAAGAGCAGTGAGACTGAGGGAGACACTTTTGAATTTTCACAAGGAGGTAAAAGCTTAGCACAGCTGAGACAGAAACAAATTGAATTCCACTTACCACTGTTGCTTTTTTGGTTCACTGTTGGGCTTTCTCAGACACCTGGCTGGCTCACCCATAAGAAGTGAAGTAAGTGGGGCGGATGAATGTGTATTCCAGGTCTGTGCCTTCTACTTAGGGAGACAGTCTAAGTACAGGCACATATACACTGTCCAGAATGATGAAGTTTATTAAAAAGGTGAAAGAACACACATGCATGGGCATAGGTGGGGAGTGGCCAGCAGCATAAACAGCTGGGGGAGGGGAATAGGAGAGGCAGCACCTCCTTCTGTCCTGGTCTCCAGCTGAAGAGCTTGCTTTTCCTGGACTCTAGACTAAGTTAAGGTCCCCATTCCATCTTTCTGCTCATGTGCACCTTGGCAGGCAGCAGGTGATGGCTCAAATACTTGAGTTCTTTCCACTCCCGTAGGAGACCAGGGTGGAGCTCCAAGTTCTGGGCTTCAGCCTGGCCCAGCCATGGCTGTTGTGAGCATTTGGGGAGTGAAGCAGAAGATGGAGATACCTCCCTCTCTCTCTCACGCTCTCTGTCTTTCACTCTCTGCTTCTGCCTCTGTAAATTTGCCTTTCAAATTAATAAATATCTTTTAAAATTAAAATAAATATAACGCTATTTCCTTATAACCAAAAAAATTTATTGATTTGAAAGGCAAAGTCTGTGGCAGGGAGTGGGAGGAGAGAGACAGAGAGAGACTCCTCCATCTACTGCTTCACCTCCCAAATGACCAGAACAGACAAGCTGGGCCAGGCCAGAGGCAGGAACTTCTTCTGGGTTTCCCATGTAGGTGGCAGGGGCCCAAGTACTTGAGCCAACCTTCAAGTCTTTCCCAGAAGCATTAGCGGGGAGCTGGATTGGAAGTAGAGCAGCTGGAACATGAACTGACTCCAATATGGAGTGTGGGTGCTCCAAGTGGTGGCTTAACCTGCTACACCACAAAATAGAACTGCCACCCAAATTTTTAAACATTGAATTGTCAAGTAGCCATCTAGGTATATATACATCTATGTGTATATATATCTAGGTATATGACTCCAAGAATTGGAAACGGGGGTGGGTGTTGTGGTGCAGCCAATGAAACTGCCACTTGGGAGGTCCACATCCCATACTGGAGTGTCTGGTTCCAGTCTTGGTTAATTTGCTTTCAATTCAGCTTCCTGCTAATACTCATGGGAAGGCAACAGATTATGGCTCCAGTTCTTGGGCCTCTGTCAACTGTGTGGGAGACCTAGATGGAGTGCAGGGCTCCTGGCTTTATCCTGGCCTGCCTTCACTGTAGTGGCCATCTGGGGAGTGAGGCAGAGATCTCTTTCAGTCACTGTGTCTTTCAAATACATAAGTACATACATAATAGAAGAATTGAAGACAGGGTCTCAAGGAGTAATTTGTACCCATGTTCACAGCAGCATTATTCATATTACCCCTATATGCAAACAACCCATGGGGCCATCAAAAGAAAATGAGTGTGGGAAAACAATGTGGTCCAACTGAACCACCGAGTATTATTCAGCCTTTCCAAGGAAGGATATTCTGACACTTGCTACTGCAGGCATGAATCCTGAGGACTGGATAATACAAGCCAGCCACAGAAAGACAAACACCAAGGGCAAGCAGTTAAGATGCCTGCGTACCATGTCAGAGTTACCCTCAGCTCTGGCTCCTGACTCCAAATTTCTGCTGTTGCAGACAGGGAGGAAGCAGCTGATGGCTCATGTGATTGGGTTCATTTCATGCACATGAGAGGCCTGAATTGAGTTCCCAGCTCCTGGCTTCAGCCCAGTCCAGTACTTGCCATTACAGGCCTGCAAGGAGTGAACCAGCTGACGGGAGCTCTGCCCATCTCTCTGGCTCTCAAAGAGCAAATACTGCATAATACTTGAGACAGAGTTGTCCCATTGATTAAGAAAGGAGTAGACCTGGGGGTGCCAGAGGCTGGGGAGGGGGGAGGGGAGTGTTTCATGTGGAGGAGAGGAGTGGTGGTGATGTGCACACAACCCTGTGAATGCTCTTCATGCCACTACTGTATACTTAAAAAGGGTTAAAATAGTAACATTTGTGTTTTGTATTATTCGCATAATTTAAAAGGTAAAAGAATCCCCCCACTCCAATATCTATCAATGCAGACCAAAGTTACTCAATTTGACTATAGCTGCCAATACTAGGCTGGACTTGATAGTGACCCCAGACATCACATACCGAAGTGGGCCACTGGGGCCAGCAGCTGCCAGTCATCCCCCAAGCAGCCAGTGGCCCCTGCACACATCCCAAAACAGGATGGGAGACTATTTGAGTATAACCTGAGAGTCCAGTACATTCATGCTAGAAGGAAGGCTTATCTGCCACACGTACCTGGGTTTCCCTGAGCAAGCACATGGCTGGATTTGTCATCCCAGAAACTCCAGACCTCACTGTGTCACAGGGACTTTTCAGAGCCTCCTCCCCAACTTTTTAGTGGTAACCAGGGCTCAGAATATGAGGTACTTGCGCAGTACCACACACCTCATAGACGTGAAGGCAAGGTTTGTACAGCTCTTGGAAGTCCCAGGGCCTGGTCTCTTTGTTCCTTTCTACTTTTTATGGAATCAAGGAGATGTTTATGCATGCAGTTCTGTAAGTTCTGCTGAATGCACACAGTGTGGCTGTCCTCAGAATCCAGATAGAGAAAGCCCCTGAGGCTGGCACTTGCCCCAGTATGTTATGCCTCTTCTAAAGGAGCTTCTATAGTAAGTCCTTATAAATGGATACATTCACTACAGCATTTCAATGTCAGGTGTCTGTTTTTCTGGTGCCTAGCAAATGGTCATGGATGCTAACCAATAAAAATGCTATTCTGCTGACTACTTGAACCATGTGACAACCGAGAAATGTCACTGACCTGACACTGAAGTGAGGTTGTGCTCACCTGATCAGCTGCTTGCACATGAGACACAGGACCTGGTGGTGTGGTCTGGTCTGACGCCTGATCCTAGTTCCTCCTACGAGACCCATTGCCTTCACTCCCTGCCTGTTATTTATTACTGCCTCCCCACAATCCCTCCTCCCAGGCAGGGATCATAATTTCCTCTTCAGCATTTCCAGTGAATGAAGCTATGAGGCCACTTTTCTCCTCTGAATTCAGAGGTCTTCCTCTGGGTCTGGCAGGATACAACACACCCGCAGAAGGCAGTTCACCATCCTCCTGCAGAACCCCCGGCGGCCCTTGCTCTTGGCAGCTTTAGCAGGTGAGGTCCCTGCCTTCTCGTCCTGCTGGTTTTCTGGGAGGCTCTCATTCTCTGCCACTCCCTGGGAACAGCTCCTGTCTGCTAAGTGGTCCTCACTGCTGCTGGAGCTGAGAGTGGATATGGAGGACACGGGGCTGTTGTACCTGAGGCCTGGCCAGGGAATGTAGGTCTCCCTCCTTATCCCAGGTTGGGGGCCATCTGTCCTCTCAGCCTCACTGCTGGTGACACTGATAGTGGCTATGGAGGACAAGGAGCTGTTGTGGCTGAGGACTGGCCCAAGAATGTAGGTCCTCCTCCTTATGACAGCGTGGGGACCATCTGACCTGCCGGCCTCACTGCTGCTGGTGTTGAGAGTGGATGCAGAGGACATGGAGCTGTTATACCTGAGGACTGGGCGAGGAGTGTGGATCATCATGCCAGGTGGGGAACCGTCCATCCTGCGGGCTCCATGGCAGGCATTTAGCCCTGATGACAGGTCACCTTCGGGCAGCACTGGGGACGTGGCGCTGGCTTGGAGACTGGGTGTCAGGGAGGCTGCTTTACGGCTCAGCTGAAAGCCCAGCTCCACCAGGTAGCTTTGGGCCTCAGCATCCTGGGGAGATGCTAGAAGCTCCACTTCAGTGAGCTCAGGTCTCGCTGCTCCACTGAAGCCCTCCTGGGATTTCCCCCAGCTCAGAGCAGGGGACAAGCAGCCATCCTCCTCCTCATGGCCCAGCTGGAAGAGGAGGCCTGAGAGGTATTTTGGACCTTCAGTAACATGCGAAGGACCTGGGAGCCCCATGTAAATTTCACTTCCTCCTCCTCTGAGGTGAGCCTGTAGCTGGGCTTTTCCCCACAGGGGGCCGTCCTGTTCTCGGAGGCCCTCCTGAGAGCTCAGGCTCTCCACACTTTCACTGAGGTCCTCGTCCTCGGTTGAACTCTGAGTCTGTTTGGCTGTGTCTTCACTCAGTTTGGGCCCTTTCTGCTCCATGCTGAGCCACTTGTGGCCCATAGCATCTGCCACTGTGGGCCTCTCAGCAGGGTCATAGGTCATCAGCCAGTCCAGCAGCTGCTCCAGTTCCCCACTTATAGAGGAGGGGATTAGGTAAGAACCAGCCAGGATGGCTGCCTTCAAGTATGCAAAGCTGTTCCCTTCAAAGGGCAGCCACCCTTTCACCATGGTGTATAGGAGCACGCCCAGGCTCCACACGTCAGCCTTGTAGCCATCGAATTCCTTCCCTAAGAATTCTTCCGGGGCACAGTATTCGAGGCTGCCACACAATGAATTGAGTTGTTGGCCTTCAGCCAATTTTTGGCTTAAGCCAAAGTCAATTAGTTTAATACACATGTTTCTGTCCACAAGGAGATTTTCTAATTTTATATCTCTGTGGACAACATGCTGCTTATGGCAGTACTCCACTGCTTCCAGGGTCTGACTGAAATAGTAGCATGCTTCTCCTTCCTCAAGGTGGCCGCGCACTGCCACTAACTTTCCAAGGTCCCCCACGCTAATATATTCCATGAACAGGTAGGCTCTCTCTGCCGTGTAGTCTACCTGCATTAGCTGTACAATGTGAGGGTGATGCAGAGAACTCATAATCTCTGCTTCTACCCTTGCTTGTGGGAACTCGGAGGAATCCCCGTGCCCTCTGGCAATGATCTTCACAGCCAACATGGTCCCACTCTCCACGTGGCGGGCCAGCTTCACCTTGCCGAAGCTGCCCTTGCCAAGGGTTCTGAGGACTTCATATCCCTGGAACACCTCCTCCTCTGTGTGGGAGGATCTGTCACCACTCATTGTGGGGATATCTTGGTATCTAGTGTACTGGGAGTAACACTAGCTAGTCTCCTACAGCACCTACGGTGACCTGGCAACCCAATGAGAAAGAAACAAATGAATAAGTCAATATGTTAATACTACTAACAGGTAACACTGCATTTACTGTACTACAGACTAATTCTATTCACTATACTCAAGTTACTAATATAACAAGAAAAAGAGAAAAAGAAAAGATATTTAAATTAAATACACAGAGATAAAAAAATTGAGTTAGGGTAAGAAAACTAAAAATAAAAATAAAAAAATAAAGCTCTTAAAGAACAAATAGACAAAAAAACTGCATATGAACTTCACTGTACTAATCAATAAGACCAATTCTAATTCACTATGTGATATTGTGAACACAACAAGAGAAATCAAAAAAGAAATGCGATTTTTAAATAAAATACACACAGATGAAAAGCAAAAATTTGTGGGGAAGATAAGAGGAAAAAAAAGAACAAAATAAACAGCACTGAAAAGAACAGACAAAACAGCAGTATATAAGTGACTATTTTGAAACAATCAAAAGCAGCCTCCGTTTCCCATAGCAGACCCGAGTCCTTGTAAAAGCAGGCATTCAGGCATTCTGGAGATATCCAAGTTTACCAAGGACAGTTAGCTCAGCAGACCAAGGCCAGCTCAGTAGAGATTACCAACTGAGGTAACTTCATGAACCCAAGCCAAACAGAGACACACACCCCCCACCCTGCCCGATCACAAAAGGCCCCGCACCTTAAGCCCTTGATGATGTATCTCCCCTTTAAAAGCGTCCCCAAAGACCTGGGCCTTTCCTCCTTCCTCTGCTGCGCCAGTTGGTTGGATGAGGTCCCTGTCGCGGCTTGTACCTTTTTAATAGAAATCTTGCTTTTGGATTTCAGTGTGATGAGGTTGTTGATAGTTTATTGGGGGATCTACTTATCTGGGCATAACAAAAACAACAGTATATGAAGTACACTAATTATTAAGATTAATTCTATTCACTATGCTAATATTTTGAACAAACACTATAATGAATTACACTATACTAATCAGTGATAATCAAAAGTGACAAAACAGAAACATGGAGAACTGTAACAGAAAGAAAACACCAACTCTTAAAGCTAAACTTACAATACTAAACCTCCTATGTAAAGAAAGTGATTACAGATGAGAAAAAGAAAGTGAGATACACAAGAATTAAAGAATTAGAAAATGAAAATGGAAAATAAAGAGAAGAAATGACAAGAAAAATAAAAAGAGAAATGAGGAGATATTTAAATAAAATAAAAATGCACAGATAAGAAGTAAAAGATTGTGGGGAAGGGAGAGGACAAAATGAACAGAACAATAAAACAGCAAAAACAATAAAATATGGAAAAACTTATAGCTTTGTCCAAGTCTCGCTGGCCAGCATCCAACTGCTTCCTGGAAAAAACAGACAAAGTCCTCTGCCCAGCCAGGGATTCAAACAGGCAGTTGGAATGACATCACAATGCACCTTCCAACGTCAGAGCAAGAAATGGACCAATCACAGTTGGTGATACTCCATGGCAGTTTCCAGAAGTATCTGTCCATATGATTAAAGAGAAAGTACCCCCAAAAGATCTTTGCTTAGGTTAGTGATAGAAATTGATATTTATTTTTTGCAAAATTAGCACATGTAGAATGTTCCAATTGCCTCCTAAAGTCTACACCCCAAATAGCCTTTCCTCTCAATTTAACATCTGAGTGATAGGTCTCAACATGATGGGACCACTTTCCTAGCATCATGACACTACCACAAAATGTTCTGTTGCCCATGACAGCTCAGGTGCGTTGTTCATATCTGTAGAGCTGAGAGGGAGGTATCTTCCATCATTTCCCCTATGTTCATGAGCAAATTGCTCATCGGAATCCCTGGAGGACCACAAGGCAGAGGGCTGATATGGTGCAGTGCAGAAGGCAAAAAAAAAGCACAAACTGAGGAATCTGTAGCCCGCAAAGCTGTGCTTCAAATTGTAGGGAGAAAAGCAAGACATTCCTAGAGATTTCAGTGCTTTTTAGCTATTGTAACAAGACCTTGTCTTGGGTATTTGAAAATTTTCACACTGTTTTCAAGGCTGGGGAGAGTAAAATTGAGGACCAGCAGACTCAGTAACTTGAAAGGACTCACTTTCTGCTTCTATGTTGGTGCCCTCGTCAAAAAATTGATAATGAAAGGGAAGGCTGGAGGCCTGCTATTTACCATATGTCTAAGAGTTGAAAGGGAGCATTGTACCCCTTTAAATATACCAGTATGACTGAATTCAACATCCAAACATTAGGAAAAAGATGGCTCCTTTTTGAAGTGTCCTCACAAGGCGGAAGAAGTGAATGGACCCCTCCAAAGTCCTTGCAGAAAGGCCCTCATCCTGGGTCTCGTGTTGAGGTACACTGGGTTAAGCTGCACTCTGCAATGCCAGCATCCCTCTACATGCACTGCGTTAAGCTGCACTCTGCTGCCGGCATCTCTCTATGTGTGCTTTAAGGATTCAGTAAGTTGTGGGGTTAGGGAAGGATACAATGAAGTTTGTGGTTTAGGAAAGTTCCTCTTGGGATGTTAATGCAGAACCTATAGGTAAAACCTCTGCAAGACTGGAGCCACTAAGAGGCCCTGAAGTGATAGAGTAGAGACTAGGTCACAGACACAACTGACTGAACAGAGGGAATGAGAGAGCTGGAAGCCCCCAAGATGACTCTTCTAAAATGACTGAAAAACACAGACGTGCACCTTAGAGAACTTTGTTTTTGAGAATGAATACTTATGAATATCCATAATGAAGAAGAAACTCAAGGATCTAAATAACAAAAAATTATCTGATTATAAAATGGGCAAATAACCTGTACCGATATTCTCAAAATAGGATTTACAGCAACCTACAAGTATATGGGAAAATGTACAATGTCACTAGTCATCAGGGAACTGCAAATCAAAATCACCATCTTATTCCAGTTAGAACAGTTTGATCAAAAGATAAAAGTAATAAATGCTGGTAAGGGTGTAGGGAAAGGGGATCTCTTTGTAGGAATGGAAATGACTGTTGTTGTTTTGGAAAACAATGTGGCCAATCCTGAGAAACCTAGAAACAGAACTGCTATATGCCTCAGCTATCCTACTACAGGGCGTGTATCTATGAGTTGAAAGTATGTTGAAGAGATGTGTGCACTCATGTGTAGCATTGTACTATTCACAGTAACCATGATGTAGAATCAGGTGCCCATCAACTGGAGAATGGATAATGAAAATGTGGTATACACATGCAAAGGAATGCTAACAGAGTGGGAGGCCAAGGCAACTTTGGCTTGCTGACAAGGACATAACAGAAGGTCTGTCTCAGCAAGGCATGAGAACAACAGCTGTGGTCTTCTTGGTGGTTTTAGGTTTGTTGGGATCTACACTCTGCATAAGAAAGCCAGACCTTCCTGGTGGTCCCATTAATGATTGTTATATTTCTAATTTTAGGGAAGAACTCTTAGTCTCATGATCCCCAAAATGTCCATTGCTTTGTAGAATTTTAATCAAGCAGAATGTTAGTGTAGGAGAAGGGGTTAATGCTTTATGCAAGGTTGATCTGTTTGTGGAAAAGAATTACAAGGTAACAGGCTCCTTGGTATATTCTTCCCACTAGAAAAAAGATAAATGTTATTAAAACTTTAAGTTAATATATGCAACAAATACAACAATGGTTAGGATGCCAAAACTGTGGAATAGATCTAAGGGAACCTTTAGATAAGTACAAGAAAGAAATTAAAGAGTTACAGAAAGAACTGCAAAAGAGGGGATATATTGAAAAAAGGGTCTGCTCTGAACATTGGGGCTTCTAGTAAAGATTTGATTAGGAAGGTAATATTCTAGCTTGTGTAGCCAATGTCTGCATAGCTAGATAGCACTCCAGGCCTTGGTTTGTGTGGGCAGCCTGTTATCTCGCACCTGTCTGTGATAGTAACCCATGCTCTGAACATGCCTTTGAAATTGTCGTCTCACACCTGTGATTGTAATCCATGCTCTGAGTATGTCCTTGAAAACCAAAGAGATTGTGACTAGATAAAAATGAACAACAAACTTGGTATAGTAAGAAGAAAGAATCATTATGTGACTTATATAAAGAAACAACCTGGTACTCCAGAGACAGAGCCATGCCATCAGCCTTGCTGTGAGTGTGTCTCTCATTTCTTCCTGTGCCAACACCTCCCACACCTTCAGGAACCCCTGGACTTGATGGAGCTGGACTCCACCATTTACTTCAATTTTTATTGGTTGGAAAATTCAGACGTATGATTCATGTGCACTCATACTCCTTGCAGACTGCTGCTCTCTTTTTGTACATAATCATTCTAAAATTCATCCATGGTATGTTTTTGCCTTTTCCACCACTCTTTCCTCTCCCTCTATTAAATAAATAAATACATCTTTTAACATGGCAGGGATTTGATGAAGCAATTACGATGCCACTTGGGACACTTGCATCCAATGTCAGAGTGCCTGGGGTTGAGTCCAAGTTCTGCTTCTGAGTTCAAGTTCCTGTTAATGTGCATCCTGGGAGAGAACAGGTGATGGTAAAGGTACTTATGTCCCTGCCAACTACATGGGAGATGTGGATTTAGTTCCAAGCTCCTGGAATTAGCCTGGTCAAGTTCCTGGCTGTGGCAGGTAATCGGGTGGTGAGCCAGTGTTTGGGATTTCTCTGTCTCCCAAATGAATAAATACATATATTGACATATTTTTAAAAGATTTATTTATTTATTTGAAAGTCAGAGTTACACACAGAGAGGAGAGGCAGATGGAGCAAGAGAGAGAGGGAGAGAGAGAACCATGGTACAGCATGTGAAGTTTGTATTTTGAAGGGAGGTTTTATTCACTATTTTAAAATAATGATTTTGAGGATATTTTACATAATTATTGAAAACTTATTTTTTTGCAAAATGTCCATTCAAATCTTTACTGATTTTAAAAGTTTTTTTTTTCTGTTCTTTTACTTTTATTTGTTAGAGTTCATTATAAAATTAGTCACATTTTTCTTAATTTTCATTCTATATATTTTTTGCTATTTTGAATAGTATCTTGTACTTTTTAAACATACATGTACTTATTTGAAAGGCAGAGTGACAGGGTTAGAAAAAGAAGCAGGGTGTTGGGAAGATGGTGGTATAGCAGCAGGACGTTCCAAGTTGTATAGGAAAAAATGGATAGTGAGTGAGCAGAGAGGATACAAGCCAGTGGCAGAATAGCCAGAAATTCATAGAGTGGCCCAGGACTCCACCAGAGACTGCTCAGGTCTACACTGGGGGAGCAAAAAGGAGGGGGAGGTGGTGGATGTGCAGCAAAGGAGCTGCAGAGGGAATAAGCAAAGAGGTGCTGCCCCCACCACCAGCGAACCATGGGGAGAGGTTGTGAGTCCACAGAGCTGTGGATAGAGGCGGGCAGGAAATCTTGGTTAACTATG